TTCGCTTGACAAAGGAAAAAGACGTTTTCGAAAGCTCGTAAAATTAGCTTTCAATAACAGTTTGTGTTAAAAAAAACGTATTCATACCAAAGGTTTGGATCTCATTCCGAAATAAATTTAACATATTGCTGATTACGAATTATAAATCCATGTGGTAATGGCTATATCTTATCATTGTACCATTTGGGACGGTTGCAACCGTGTAGGAAATATTAGCTATAATAATAGTCTTTTCTTCTTTCGGAACACCTTGGGATTTCCTAACGAATTAAACTGTTCATTTCAAGGGAAACAACCCCGATTGTCTTGTATGAAATGCTGTTATTTTACCGTTAGTGTATTAACCAAATAGAAACACGACATTTACGTGTAATTATACAATCATTATTACGCAGTGTTCTTTATTCAATTAATATCGATGCAGTTGATTTTATTTTTGTTTATGGGACAGTCGTCGGAGTAGTGTATACATATACACAGGCACGACCGTTCATTCCGTACTCTTCAACAACACCATATATGTATAAAATAACTTTCATGTAGCTCTAGATCTGTTGTAAAACTATAAAGGCGTTTCTTTCAGCACATTGATCAGCAAAAACGGTTCAGGATTATTTATGGCAGAAATTATATACAAATGAGATTTGTTTTACTGTGACAGTCGTCGGAGTAGTATATAGAGCGAGACCCTTCATGACCATTCCGTATTGTAGTATAACTATAAGTTTCTTTACTTTACCATTCCCCTATTATAACATTTTGAAAGGGTTTTCTTTGGGGACAGTGACCAGGAAAAAAGGACTAGGAATATATGTTGGGGGAAACATTTAGAAATTGACAGTTTTTTAATTGGATAGTCGTCAGAGTAGTATAAAGAGCGAGACCGTTCATTCCGTAATGTATCGTATAACTACATGTATTAAGTGATTTTTTGGGGGGAAAACAAAATTGATTTGTTCTTTATTTTTTCAGTGGGACAGTCGTCGGAGTAGTATATGTACATGTATTTGTGATTGTTTCTTTCTTATTATTATATTTAAAGTATTTATAGGTACAGCAATATGACTTGATACTTTTATGATCGTACATTGTATCGGCTATATGCTTCTTCCAATCGTCGTAAAAGTAACCATCAATTTCAACAGTTATTTAGGTAACGTCACTAAAACGGAATGAAACGGCTATTTCATATTATTGATTATTCATTGTAAACTGTTAATTTCGCCACCCTATCACGGCATAAATCAGCAGTCTCCTTACTGATGGTCATGTACACAACTTTACCATTCATTCCGGCATTAATCGGCATATTTAACCCCATTATTAACACCTATTCCGTATATTTAGTCATGGATGTATAGCAACGGAATGAAAGGTAAATATATTTGTTAAGCTGACTATGCTGTAATAAAATATTAAAATATTATAATAGAGTAATATATGGCAGTAAAAAATTATATACATGTACTCCTACTACAAAACGGAATGAACTGTCTCGCTTTATATACTACTCCGACGACTGTCCCTGTAAAAAAATGCTCATTTTCTTATATTTCCCTCCAAAAATATTCCTAGTCCCTTTTTTTGCTGAACTCTGACCCCAAAGAAAACCTTTTCAAAATGTTATAACAGAGTAATATATGGAAGTAAAAAATGATATACATGTACTCATACTACAAAACGGAATGAACTGTCTCGCTCTATATACTACTCCGACGACTGTTCCAGTAAAACCTGCTCATTTTCTTATATTTCTCCCAAAACATTCATATATTCCAGTTCATTTGCAAGAATACCAAGCTAATATATTGCTAGATACGGTAGACCAACACTTTTCATGGCACAAGGACTAGTTCAAAACTATAGGGTATGATAATTCGTCAAAACGCAAACCTTTTGATGTCACCCATTCCTAATAAACGTGTACTTTTTAACTGCAATATTTCATTAATATCTGAACGAAATGTATTTCATGACGTATCACACTGATGTTCTGATATTATTTTTGTTTCAAATACGGTTCTACTACTTCAAAAATACGAAATGTGACTGCTCGACTACCATTCAATAGTACATACTACCAATATACCTAGGTATATATCTGCTTTATAAACAACTTACCATGGTTTACTCGGTTGCTTTTCACTTGACTGATGCACATATCCAGTTGCGAGTATTTATAGGTAAACACATGCCAAGTCAATAAACAGATTAATTACCCACAATATTAATAATATAATTTCCCCCGTGTCGTTTATTTATTTATTTGTCAATTCTAATAATATCATAAGCCGTGCTAATTGATAAAAAAATAAATCAACAAATAATTATCGTACCTTTCAAATCATATACGAGGAACCGTGTGTTCTCCCCTGATGTTGTTATCGTTCACCGTATCAGCCTCCCCCACAGAGCAGCTATCTTTCTACACCCTAGTAAGGAAGAGAGACCATACCAAAACCACACAAATTATGGTTGATAATTTTATTTCTCATTACAAACAATAAGGCTGTCATTTATTTGATAAACTTAAGTTTGAAACATAAGAAAATTCCCTTCAATGTTAGGATTAGGATTAGGTGACAATTACTTGAAAATCCAAAATCCTTTCATGAGATAAAATCCTATACTTCCTGAAATCTTGAAATTTTAGCGTTCAACGATTTAAAACATGACGCAAGTACCTGAGAGATTGTTCATTTCTAATTCAAGAAAACACTTCTATCAATTCTACTTTTCATTGTAATCGTAAAACATTTATATACCAAAGATCATTTTATAGATCTGAAAGGGGAATAGGTTAGATTGTTTATCAAATATATGTTAATGTTATATACTTTCCACTAACATAACTTTGAATATATCACATGAATATGCAAACGACATATGGTCTGAGAATAATTCAGTATAATCACTACGCAATACAAATATAAACTCTAAATACAATCTTTTTTTTTGTATGGTTTCATTTAGTATTCGTAAAGATATTTTCCTAAAGGAAATATGACGTCAAGTCTCATACATTTTCTAGTTTGGCGACTGGTTTAACCACTGTGTACACACCTTTGTCGTCCTTAATTGTAATTAATTATCCTGGTTCAGTATTTCATTGTTACACCTATCACGGATGAGCGTTCTTCCCTGAAGACAGGTTATACAGTTGAAGAAAATATACGTAAGCAGACTTGAATTTATAAATGAATCCTCATGACTATATCATGTAATTAATGCGAGAAAAACATTAACAGACATAAAGTTGCCGTAAAGTTTGTTTAGAATTGAACACGTCACAGTGACATATAGGAACAAGGGCCATGTAGTTTTCTGGGTATATGACTATATCTATACAAATCAGTCGCCAACGCTCAATGACGATATCACAAACATTTTTTTTACACAATCGGCCCAAAGCAATCATTGCGAATCAGTCACGAACGCTCAATGAGTATATCACAAACAGCTTAATACACGGACTACATGTTTTATATGCATGTTTTACACAATCGGCCCAAATCTACTCCATTTCACTATCCATCTATCAATACGAATCAGTTGCAAACGCTCAATGAGCATACCACAAACAACTTAATACAGGAACTACATGTTAATACATATATATGTTCATGTTTTCCAATCGGAACTTATTTATACACAAACAGTGTAGTGGATGCTACAAGTTATGTTACACACGCTGTGAACTTGCGTGTGTGCTATTTTCAATAAACATTTCACATTTTAGTTAATTACAAGAGCACTAATTAACATTCAGTACATTTAAAAAAAAATTAACAACAAATGTATCAAACTTGCAATCGGGCATCACAATATGCTCCCACAAATACATAGTTATATCTCTGATGCGATTAAAAGCAAAACTCCGACAGACTTTTAGATCGATGGCTATAGTCTCTGGGCTATAAAAAGGTTGAACTGTTTGTGAAGCATTTATTTTTTTACACGATTACTAAATGATTAAAAAGGTTTTTATTACCAGTAGACTGCCAGCCTCCTTAACAAGTAAGTGAACATATTGATCAACAATTCACTGTCATCATATCACGTAATTACTTTACTACGATCACTTCATCGACAACTATATCGTTATTACATATATATATATGTCATCTGCTATTGGGTGTACGGATGATTTGTTCAAAACCTCAATAGTTTCAGTTGTTGAAAAGTGAAAAAACAATTAAATAAATGTGAATTTGTTAACAGACGCTGACAAACAGGGACTCTATTCGATCTCAAACCGAAGCCTCTCTCTTTTTTATTGATACCACACGTACAAATCCACGGTGATGACAAAGCCAGTTCGATATCTTTGATTTCACTTTTTCAGTGTTCATTTTTTTGGGGTGATTCATATATCTCTCTATTCGCATTATATATTCGTGTAAAACTGCAGTAACGGATTATAAAGACAAGTTGACAATACATAACAAAACAACTGTATTCACTTGCCCGTTGAAAAATGTATTGTGATCCTGCATACAGAAGTACAGTGGTCATCTTACCTTGTGTAATCCAGTGTAACCCAAAGTAACTTAGTGTAAATCAGTGTATTCCAGTGTAACTTAGTGTAACCCAGTGTAGCTTAGTGTAACCCAGTGTAGCTTAGTGTAACCCTATGTAACCCAGTGTAGCTTAGTGTAACCCAGTGTAGCTTAGTGTAACCCAGTGTAACCTAGTGTAACCCCGTGTAACCCCGTGTAACCCCGTGTAACCCCGTGTAACCCAGTGTAACCCAGTGTAACCCCGTGTAACCCAGTGTAACCCCGTGTAACCCCGTGTAACCCCGTGTAACCCAGTGTAACCCCGTGTAACCCCGTGTAACCCCGTGTAACCCAGTGTAACCCAGTGTAACCGAACCTTGGCAAGACAAGTCTGTTTGTCATTATTGAAAATATTATGTGCTAATACTATCAAAAAGGTAGTGAATTATTATTTATACAGAAGACACAGAGATAGTTTCAGTCACATTACAACAGCCGTTTTATTATATCGAAAGTTGTTTGTGTACACACGTACATCTAACACATATCAACTGCGCACTATCGCACTGGGTCATAAAATTCATGTAAACTGTGCACAGCCTGACACATATTTATAACCAGTAACAGACCGTTGAAGCAAGCAGGATGTAACTATAATACTATAAAATAAACTTGGGAACACTCATTCTTCGACGCATATGCGCATCCATTAAGCGTGATTCTGTCTGGATCATCAACATCATCATACAACTACTGTGTACCGAGGAAAATAGAAGAACGCTGTGTGAGAAGATGTGAGAAGACTAAACACCGTTTGAAGTAGTCTATACATAGTGAGTATCAAGTCAATGCTTATGTTTTTATGCTGAGAGTTATGTTAAGAAAATATATTGTGATATCATTCTGTAGCACGACTACGTGTATATCAATAAAACAACTATATTGTATCGTATACCCAGGTTAGGAGCTTTATCTTATCAGAAGCTTAACCGTATCAGCCGTGCAACCTTGGAGGTAAGAACTATGTATGTATCTTATGTCTAGCAAAACATGTTAACTTAGTGAATTGTAAAACATTTATTTAAACGCCTACTGCGTAAGTCTGATAAATGGTGCATGACTGTTTTCTTTAGGGGAGAACCCTTTAATGTAATAGTAAGCACTGCCGTATGCTTGAATGCGGTTGTATAGGGAAAGTAATAACGTGAAAGTTATATTGAGCAAATCATGTCTTTTCATCCTTTGTGACGTACGCATCTCTGTTGCAATGTGTTATCAGTTTGTACCCGGTTTAAGAGCTGTATCATTCAGTGTGGTATAGGATATCGGTATATACGTAGTTAATATGCTGGCGGAGCACGATTATATTGTACACGGTGTTAACGAATGCATCTGATAGATTACATCTTGAGCTGTAGCTATACGTAAACTGTTTCGTTAATGAGGTATATATAAAACATCGCTTTTTGATACATTGTATAGGTATGCATTAGTGAATATAGCATAGTGTGTTATGACTTAGCGTGAATTGGGGCAAAAGTGTATTATCTCTTACCGTGGTAATACAATGAAATAATGCATGTAATAGTACAGGCTACATGGTATATTAAAAACGTAATGCAGGAACGTTTTTATAATGCAGTTGTCATATTGAATCATCATTTAGGCAATAACTAAAGCCGATTCGTTATCTTTCCAAGCGTAATACCATATTAAAGCCTTTAAATCATTCATAAACTTAACGTTTATTTGTCTAAATGCTATATGAATCATTTTTACAGAAAATCTCAATTCAACAATATATATATATAAACGCCGTATATTTCCTCTCCCTTATTGCGAACCGTGGGATTTTGAATCACATTTATTACTGATGGACATGAAATACAAAACAGTTGTCAAATGTATCACATGTTATTCATAAAATGTAAAACGCATTAAAAGATTCAGATCTCATTCATTCTCAAATACTTGTATCTTCGAAACCAGGCTACTATATAGCATGTGCTTCGTAATTTTTAAAAAGAAATTAAACTTTGTATTTCTCTAACAGAACAATTGATGACATGGCGAACGATCCCGCTGTTTCCATGCCCATCCTGCATGTGCGAGGTAACCACTACGAGGTCGGATACCAAACTGGCACAGCGTTCCAGAACAGAATTAAGTTGTTTTACCAGCGGTCTCAGCTAGTACAGGAGAAACTACTTCCGTTCTACTCTCAAAGACGAGGACGTGAGATAGCAGAGGTTTACCTTCGGGGAGCGCGTGACAACTTCCCACATCTCATCCGTGAGATACAAGGTATGGCCGATGGCGTTGGAATGGCATTTGAAGATATTTTTATTCTAAATATTGCCAACGAGGTTTACAATTGTCATTTTAATGAAATGCAAAGTTGGCCACCGGAGTCTGATAACCTAGGATGTTCCGACATAATGATCAACACCCCAGAAGTAAAAATGATAGGACACAACGAAGACTGCGACCCAGTATCAAAAACCTGCGGATATATAGTCAGTGCTCAAGTCATAGAAGATTCCACCGATGAGAAGTTCACTGTCTTTTCTTATCCCGGCAGTTTACCTGGCAATACTTTCGCTTTTAATCAGCATGGCATGATTTTTGCCTGTAACGGACTGTATCCTAAAACTGCAATATTAGGGGCAACACCTCGATTCTTCCTCAACCGATCCATGATGACTGCCACTACAGTAGAGCATGCGCTCCAAATTGGTAAGAACGTGGGTGGTGGATGTGCAGTTGGGTTTAATCTGAACATTGGAAACTGGAAACATCCGTGTGAAATGTGGGGTCTGGAAATTGGTCCTGGTGAGAAGGAGAGCAAAGTCCATTTGCACACATTTAAAGAGCAAGGAAATAATTCGGATACGCCTTGTTATATGCATACCAACAACTATAAGCATCTGCACGTCGTGGAAATAGATAACCTGGCATCGTCCGAGGCCCGCATGAAAAGAATCCTAGAGTTTAAAGCGCCCTCTACAGGGCATGAAATGAAGATGATCCTGGGTGACACGAAAAATGATAAGTACCCTATCTTTCGTACTCCTAGCGCCACAGACAGTGGAGAGACTGTAGTCACCGCCCTGTTTGATCTTAAAGATAGGAAAGTCGATGTGTACATGGATAATGTAAAGTTTGCTCCATCACCCTTCTTCAGTTTACCCCTTGTTTAGGTCACTTGTGGGTGTTTTACACACCGATTGTTGTCAATACAATGCCGATACAGCTCTCTTATGTATTTGTGCTGCTTCAATGAATCCCTGGAATACAACACATAGGGGAAGATTGCATATATTGTATCGCGAAGTTGTTGCTAAATATGCATTCAACCATTGATGCATTACGACTTACCCAGATAAAATATAAATAATCTATGTTTCTCACTGAAAGTTATAAATATATGGCATGAAATTGTCTTAAGTTATCATAACTCATTACGGTATTTCATAACTAGTAGCATATTTAATTCAAATTTGAAAAACATACGTAGGATTATTTTCATGCATTCTTTTAGATTCCTAGCTATAACATCAATTAAGTTTTGCTTTAATTGTGCTTCAGTATCCAAAGTTAATACTTGTTTGTCCTGATGCTTTTACTGCACGCTGACGTCAATAATGCATTTCTGTAGTTTAGACAAGATTCAAACATAACTTGACCAGATTATGATTTGTTACATTATGTACTACTTTTCAAAACTGTAATATATTCGCATTTTGAACTTTTGTTTGATACATACATCCTTTTAAAAATATCATTTTATATATCTTGTAGCTGTGGACAAGTTGAATTGAATTTCTTCATAATTCTAAAATTCAGTAGTGTGTGAGAAAAGGCGAGTTAGTATCTAACCAGGCGATCTTCTGATAGACATGTCTTGAGAAACTGTATACGTTTTTTTCTTTTTTTTTCTTTCATGTAAATAAAAACAAAATTAAGTGGAAAGCAATCAAACAATTTTGAAAATTTGTCATATTGCTACTTTTGTATTGATTGCTTGCTATTAGTATTACTGGTAAAACACATTACAGCCGAACCTAAATCCGGATCCATTTCCTACTGCGGTGAAAACACAAGATAGCTCTTATTGTATTGGATAAAGCTGGATTACGACTGAGCCAAGGTACTTCCTTTGATCAGGAAGCTAAGATGGTTAGGGCATCTGTATAATGATTAAAGGGTCAGGTTTAAGGTCTGACTCATGAAAACACTAATAAAACACTGTTTGTTTTTGTTTATATTTCATCTATTGCATTTTTTCATAAATATTCCGCATGACCTGTTTTTCTTTTTAGAAATGAAATGAAAGTAAAGCAAAAAAGAGTGTCAAATACACAATTAGAGTGTTATGCAGTGGTATGGGCATCTTCAAGCGTAATAAATAAAATAAACTACGAGGATTTGATCCCTTAACCTGTATCTATATGGCCGGGAGCGTATCGCTTAGCATATTGAAATGCTATTTGTTATAAACTATTCTGCAAAACAACTAAACTAAAATTATTAAATTTCTTGAAACTGTTTTTTTATTTGTCTTTGCATAAATAGAGGAATAACACATTTTTGCCAAGACAACTTTATAATCAAAGTAGGTTATTTAACAAAAATTGTTTTCGAAATCGTTGTTTCGTTGTCCTTTTTACAGATATGGCATCACTATTTAATTTACACTCAAAGCCAAAATAAATCTCAAAATCGTTAAAAAAAAAGGTTCCTTATCATAAACAAACGGAGTACGACAGAAACACAAAAGCATATGTATATGTGTCGACCTGCAGTTTATAAGTGTTTTAAAGTACCTCGGTGTCACTCCGGTTCACATGAGTGACTTTATATTGATTTTGTAACATACTTGTTTATGATACTGAGAGAGTCCTATTTTTATGTTGAATCGTTTAGTTTTTGTCTGCTACAGCTGTTACAGTGTGACCCAGTTCTATTTTGTAATCAAGTATTTTGTTATTGCTGGTGAAAACACTCGTTTGTAACTTAGTCAAAGTCATAAGGATGGATATGTTCTAAGAATCAGTAAGAGAGGACAAGAACTGCGGGGACATTAAACATCATGATGACGTCATACTGTATAACACTTAATGTTGGTGGGTACTTTCCTTCGTGGTTTGAAGCCTTTAAGATGGTTTCGTGGTACAAACTTTCGTGGATAACAAAAAGTAGACACGTATATTATTCAAATTCGTTGTGTTTATTTTTTGGTTCAATACCACAAAAACTACGAATGTTTATACACAACGAACAGTTCGTGTTTCAGTATACAGTAATCGCCCTGAAAGAACTGTGGCAAGACCTGACACTCGGGACATTTTAAGGATGTCCTACACCACGTGTGGACCTGATCATGTTTGGAGAAGATGTAAGGGGCACCACCGATATAAGGAACACACTTTTGGTCGATATATGAACTTCCATGTAGTTTGATTAACAGAATATTGGTATTTAAAGGAAGAATAATCAAATGAAATAATGAGACCTGAGACCGAAGATTCGAGTTGTGTTGGTTTTTCTATCTTACAATCGAATTTTCACGTATGTACATATATACGTCAGTGCAAGCGTTTTTCTGCCGTCGAAAAAAATACACTAGCAAATGTCATGTTTGGGCGCACAATTTGATACGGAGAAATAGTACATATAAGTTTCTGAATGGCTATCGACATAAAATTACCGTCTTACCGACAATGATATAAGAAAGTTGGAAACACATATGTCGTTGTCTCAATAGAGGTCGAAGCGGGTTTTCCCCGGATTCACATTCAGACCTATGTGCGCTACCACCAAGACTGATTAATGTAATTTGATAAAACTGTTTCATACGTTTTGTAAAATAAATAACGTTTAATTTAAATTTTAGAATGTGGTGTGATTAAGCACTTGTATACCATTGATATCTACACCTTAAGGCGAATTATATAGTTACATTTGCTGAATGATTTGTAGTATTTCATTTTTGATATATTTCATTAGTCAGGTTTCATTGGCAATTTTTTAATTTAAATTAAACATGTTGTGCCATTTGAGATCAACGTTGTAAAAATGGATCATGTGGAAAAAGAGATAAATCAGTCATAGTATAAAATTGAGATGAACATAATAAGACATATTTAACGAATATATTTATAGATAAGTAATGCTATACATATTGTGTAAACGTCGGCTAACGTTTTTTTAATAGTTGGTTATCTGTTCATGAACCATATTTTACCATTATTTGTATAGCTGTAAATCATACCTGTTTTATTATGTGTTACTTGTTATTTTAGACGTATAATTCAGGTATATATAACACAATATTACCTGATACTGTAAAAATCTTTGCGAGGTTGTAATGTTCGCCTTTTTCGAGTATGGTAAATTAAAGAGAAAATATTCATACACGAATATTTGTTTACAGATTATAGATAAATAGAATATGATGATTTCAGAATTATTTCCTGTGTGCAAATACCCACACCGCGATAAGATTTACACACACGAAAATTTTCACTTTTTCAGTATACTATTGGCTTAAATTACGATTATGGAACACTTTGTTAAAAATTAGGATATTTTATTGATAGGCAAATTTATTCACATAATTTGAATTTATAAACCAGCTGATAAATATTGGAAAACATAATCCCGATAATGGATATGACAGGCGCCATCAACTCATCTGAAATGACATAAAATATATGAATAAAATAATAATAAATAGTCAAATTAATTAAAAGAAAAAGGAAACGGTTTGGGTATATATTACGAAGAAAAAATGAAATATAAACATTTATAAATAAGCTTAAAAGACAGTACATACTTCACGACACTAGGATATATATTTCCATTCCTCTTAATTTGTTATCCACTTTGTTTTAAGCAAAAAGATTACTTGATTTAAATAGAATAATTTAGATAAGAAACATATCCTACAAAACATATTTGAATACGTAACTGTAATGTATGCATATGTTTTAAAGATTGACGGTGACAGTTTGTCCTCCCTTGTCCAGTGTAAACTGTGTTGTCTTCACAGTGCGGCCATTATGTTTAACACGAAGAGTATAATCTCCCATAAATCCTGATGCATGAACAGTACTTCCGGTTACAGACTCTGTCACGTGAGTCCGCCACGTTTGATGAAAGAGTTGTTGATATCTCCTTCCTGCAGCATTTGGCTAAAATACACGAAATATACTGCTATAACAATGATTAACGTAAAGAATTGATTTAAATGTCAAACTGCTCTTTTGGCTAAACGTTCAGGTGCATTTGAGGATACACCGCTTTTAATTATCTGCCCATATTGCACTGTACATTTGGTTATACTTTCCCTTACGTTCTCTTTATGTTTATCTTAAACTGGTATATGTTAATGCAATGTCCTGCTCTCTTACTAACACATTCGATCATCTGGAAAGTCTGCAATGCACGCCCCTCTTACCTACACGCACAATTTAGTGCTTTCTCATGTATTTTTACATCCGATACCTTTCTCTTTCGTACTTGATTATTTGGCTCCCTCCCTTTTTATCAAAGGTATGGTTTACCCCTATAGTATGATCGTTGATGTCTGGGAGGATAAAGTTTGACTTAAAATCGTCATTAGATGAGGAGATCCTTTGCAGATCAGGACAACAATCGTATTTACAAATTCTGATAATCATTTTTTTCAAATAAATATATGATAAAATGGGAGAAAAAAATCAGCCCCTGGAAGTTAGCTGGAGAAAACTAAACCTTGTGAGGAAATTATATTTCCATTACTAGCACATTCCAAACCAATGCTTCCCTTTTCTTGTGACTATCCATTCGGTGCCCCTCCCCCTTACCTGTACATGCGGCCCAGTTGCTAAGACAGAATTGGGAAGCCAGATTTGACCGTCCCAGAACCCCCACAGTAGAACTCCTTCCACGGCAGGATGACTCATGAACAATGTCAACATATTCTCCAGGGCGTCCGCCTTCAATCCTTCGTTAGCTTCATTCACCGTAAACTCTGTAATCCAAATGGGGAGACCAGCCTCGGCTATCTTGTCCAGTCGGTACTGTGCGCGTGGAGGTATTTCAAAATTTAAAAACCCACTTATTTTAAAAATTAGTAGGTGAAAAAAGCAAGATGATACAGAAAAAGTAACGTTTATTCAGAAATATTTCAGCCTGTGAGTAAACAACATTTTTATAATTATTTTTAAATTAAATCAGCAGCTAATATATTAACATAAAAATGACATTTTAGTTAATGTGTGCATTTCTTGATAGCATTCAAAACTACGTCGCTATATTTTACAGATTACCGATAGGAAAAACCAGACCCAGTAGCAATATTGCTTGTTTTGAACATTTTTTTTCTGGTGACGACATGACTTACCTTTAATGACGTAATATCCATGTGACTATTGGTATGACATTGTATTCCGATACCGTACAATGGGATTCCAGCATTCTTCAGGTCTATTGCTTGTTGTTTGTACGCCTTGATAATAAATACAATGAATTTATTCAGTTATTAATATTGAACTAAAATGTAAAGTGTTAATTATGTTCTTTAATAGTTAGTTCAAAATTAAAGTATCGAATTAAACTTAGCGGCAGAGGTCAATACAAAATTTAAATTTCATAAAAACAAACTACTTAAAAGTGAAAAAGCTAGTGCTCTTTAAACTTCTAATTATAAACTCACTAGAATATATTAGTCTGAGATTTGATAAACTTTTATATGATAGTGACATTTCTCTTTTGTAAACTTTTATATGATAGTGACATTTCTCTTTTTGTAAACTTTTATATGATAGTGACATTTCTCTTTTTGTTTATCTTTTTCTTCTTACGCTGGTCAGTTGATTTGACGAAGCCACGGCATATTCGTTTAGGAACAGTTTCACTCCTGGCTCCGCCTGGTGTATCCAGTTGAACATCTCCTTAGTTATGTTTTGGTGACCTGTATGTTCCTCAAAGTACATCCCGTGGAGATTTTCATTGTACACGTCCCAATGTTCTAGACTAATTGGATGGGAAACTCACAACATAGGCATCGACATAAACTGTACATTATTTGGTTCTGTTTGGAGCTCAGCAAATAGTCTGGCAATAACATGACCTTATAAAAGACAACATTCAAAGAGACCTGATAATTATACTCTATTCAATGTTATATGATAAATTATGGTACACTTAACCTCCGCAAACAATATTTTATAAAAAAAACTATACAGCAAACAGGTTTTAAATAACCACCATGGAACATACACTTGTGTGAATTGTTATTTAATTAACCTGCAACAATCAAACAAATTAACATGCCAGGACTAGGCACACATAACATAATTACCTCCCTCTAGTACGTGATATGACGTCATTTATATGTGTGTGCATAGCTTGAATAAGTGTAGAATTTCCCATGCCGTCAATCCAATCCGGGTGCCTTCCATCGGTTCCCCAAAACATGTTGTGTCCTCGTACCTTTATTCTATTAATTTAAAAAAATAATGTATAAGTTTAAAATATACTATTATAAATTTATGTTGACATTGATTGATAACGGAAGTTTTCGGAACTACTCATCTATACAAAATGTTGTCTTGTCTTATGATGTATACCTAGCATCACTTAGTCCTGTTTGAAATAGATAATACAATTTCTTACAAAATGCTCGATCGGTAGAAATCCTGATTAATACTTTAAACATCGATATATACTACTTAAGTGTTGCTCATATTTGCGCTGTTAAGCTGAACCTTTCATATAACCGGTAGAGTAAACGATTCGTTTCGTTATTTCTAAATGGTTAAATTGATATTATGTGTGATCAATGTAATTATAAAGATTTTATTCTTCATCCGTTTGATACATAAAACATTCAAACATGGACGACTTGACATTAATACAAAGCGTTGTATCTATATGATTTATCTTTCTTTCAAGCAATGCTAAAGTCGAAGAGATACTCGAAAATTCGAAAGAACAATGTAAATCTTGAAATTAGATATCTCGCAAACACTTGTACATGGACACTCACAGACTTTAAAATATGAGATAATCACACACTTTCTTCTTTTTAAACAATCACTAGAAATAAGAAATCAGGATGCATTCTTTTAATGTACTTGGTTCATGTATCTTCAAGCTTGCTTTAGCACCAAACTAGCATTAATGCAAAAAACACCGTCAGAAACTAATTATCATTTATATTATATTTTTTGGTAAGCACAGTTTACAGGACACAAAAATATCAAAATGATTGGTATCTTTGTTTGTGTGGTGTGTGTGTGGGGGGGGGGGGATTAACCAATACTTCTGTAGCTTTATGTTTGTTTGGTTTTGGGGTTTCCGCACCTCCACATCAGTTTATATAGTCGCTTAACCAGTTTGGATTTCAACTGTTATGGCCCCTTGCATGATAGAAAAACCCTCAAAGGACGAAACAGTATTATAATGCAGTGTTATTTATATGCAATTTTATTATTGTATGTGTCTTGCATTCAGTATTGATATTTACCCCTTCGCACGGAGAGCTTGTACAGCGGTCATTGGCTTGTCCAGGTTAGGATGTCCCTGGAGTAAAAAAGACAAACATTCACATTATATTTTTACATGTGTACTATTATCGAATACTCAATGGCATTAAAACGTTCATTATATCACTTATGGCCATAGAACACGTAATATATAGATAGTACGATAGCCATTTGATAAGCTCTAAAATGTTCAACTAAATAAAGGTCCGATAACTTATTATATTCCGGTAGGACTTTCAATGTAGCACAACAAAAAAGGACCACATCATAGATAATATCATATTTATGTTACTTGGTTCCACTCCATCTGTCTCCATTTCAGGGCGTTTCCCAGCACACCCCATTCAAAATTGTCGTAGAAGAACTGTTGGTAGGCATGATGAGACGAATCCACGATCTTGGACGCTTCCAATGCAGACCCAAACGCAAATTTACTCTTTGTCTGCTGGATCTGCAATATGATACTTTTTAGTATACATATTGGCTAGATGTTGTTCTGGAAGAACCATTTTGTGAAAAGCAAGCATAAGGAAATACGTTCCATTAACTATAATAATAGATATCATTCCTTAGAAATTAATCCTTGTACTTTTGTATTCAATTCAGTTTTTTTAAACATAATCTCACTTCTTTCTTTTCTTTAAAACTTTTTACTGTTCAGTTAAAACGATTTGATATTGTTAAAAAAAAACATTTTATTTTTTCAAATCATCTATTTAAAACAGTTTTACCCGTTCAATAAGAAAACCAGGTGCATACGTCCTGTGACATTAGAACTAGCTTGATATCATAACAATTCTGTCGTGGTTTTGTTAATGTCATAAGAGTTAATCGAGACCCTGCACAGTATGGTTGTAGTTAACAAGTCGGTTATAAAAATGATGTGGTTATAACTGTTGAATGCATTTTAAATTTTTCGTTCAAGTACAATTTGGCAACACCGCATGATTAGTCTTTTTATTACTTTCATCATTTAAGTAACATTATGACGAGGAGATCTAGAATCAATCATCTTGTTACAGGTTTTTTATTTCATGTTTTTTATTACAACTTTTGAGTTCCTAATATTATTTGGAAGCTATACAACAAACTGGGTATAAATCGATTAAATAAGCCCTGTTCCCATCTGTTTTCCGTGCTCATTCAATACAGTGAATACAAACAAGTAAAGATACTGTTTCATAGGAATAAACAACATGCTTTAAGCAAGTGGAAAACAAGTATACCCTGTATCATATTGGGCACGCATCATCTATAAAGTTGACATATGCGATAAAGAAAAATGAAATTAATATAATTACCTCAACTTGATAGCCAGATCCATGCAGGTTGTGCAAACTGAAAATATTAGTATACAATATGCAATCTTAAGATTTCATTATTTTTATTATTATTTATGAACAGCATGATACCAAAACTACACAGATATGACGTTGGTACTCGTTAGTTTTAAAATTATTTGCGTAAAAAATATATTTGCCTTTATCTAAAAAACCATACATTTCTGTTATTTCGATTTCGATTTTCGATTGTTAAGCTAAAAACCTACGTATACCTTCTACATGAAATTACAAACAAAATTACGTGTTCCAGATGCTATCTTCAAAAAAACACCATACATGTATCACTCTGTGTTAATTAGGAGGACATGCATATCAACACATACTTGACGGTGATCGGAGCTTTTCTGATGCTATTTATCCTGGAGTTTGCTTCAGCCTTCCAGTTTGCATCGTATGGAAGTACTTTGAAGCTCGCCGAATCGATCAAGTAGTTCACTTCCGGTTCAGCGATTTGTAGATATACATAAAGTTGATGAACGTCTGAAAACGGAGCAAGGAAATCTAGTCACGGTGGTGCTTTGCTCCTATATATATATATTACCAACGAATTATTAAGTCGGAGATATCATCATGCAGAAAATCAGCATGAGTCTGTCTTTGTATAAGAATCCACACATAGGTTGAACACCAAGTTGAATATAAGAAATCTATCTGTTTATTTCCACATAAATTACCGAAATGAATAAAATATGACTTGAAATCAAACGTAATGTTTGTGATTTTACCGAGTTCTTAAAAATGATTGACAAATCTTTTTTTAAACGACATAGTAAAACTTATGCAATGTAAGAACTTACTATGTGGAATCTTGAAATCGAACCCAATCTCTACCCAGCCACTGTCTGTTCGTACCTTAGGGCTGTCAGCAACATCTAGATACTGGTTATGTCCTTCCCAGTGAAAAAACCCGATTACTATTGCTTTATGTGTCGAGTATCACATGAAATGTCACAAAGTTTCTTAATTGATCTGTGGGGGAAATTTATAGTAGAGAGATACATCATCCTTAAAAGCATATAGCTTAAATTCACTACAGTAACTGATTCGGTATTCAAAATAATTGTCTTATTTATTTATAAGCAAAAGTTCGGCCTACCATTCATTTCGCCGATTTTGCTTATTCTTATTTAATATATAAATCCCTTCAAAACAGTAAAAACGAAAGCATGTATGACGAATTCGGCGATTACGAGTTTCATTTTAAAGGTTTTTAATCATAATATTTCTATATAATTGATATCCATGTTATGTCACTTTCTTTTGAGCAATTGGATATTAGTTTAGTTCATAGTTACCATGTATTGCTTCCCTTATCATGACCTCGACCTTATGGAACATATGACCTCGTGCCATGTTAAGCAGTTTGACATGCGCGCTGAAGACATACCTATTTCCGGGTGACACATTTATGGTTTGAGCTATTCCCGCCCAATTGTGTTGTCTAAAACACAAACAAACAAACATTGAAAACAATTCTAGCTTTCGATGTCAGTAATTCTTGTTAAGATATGTGCATCTCATTTAAAAGATATTATGGGATATACATAAAAATATATCTACATTCTTGGTGTCGTGTATGGGTACTTTTATTAATGATTTGGTTAATTTGATGCAATTCCTTTAAAATATATACAACACCTTTAGTCTCGAAATTAATGCAAATATGTAATCATATTGTTATGCATAACTAAAATATTTTACATAGCGTATAAAGTCGATTTTGTAAAGGTAAAATACAATTATATTCCAATATAACAATTTCATGAGAGTATACAACGCTCATTCTAAGCAGGCTTTGAATAAATGGGAATTTGTCTGCAATAATCCCGATTCTATAAAAGGTCGTACATGTACCTTTGAGTGATCTTAGCACTGTGATGGCCACGATAACTATCAGAGCTACTTGACAAAGTACACCCTTGACAGATCCAGTTTCCAGAAAAAGAAGTACTCTCAAAATCTGGATTTTGCAAAAGCTCTGTTGCACCGTTCGTCAAAGCGACAAACGAAAGCACCAGGAATAGCACGTCCATGTTTCCTCGTTTGTCTGCGTAGACTAGTTAACCCATTGCTTTAAGAGGTCAATCGGAACACGATACTAGTCCCTTGAAATTAACATAATGTTATCAGCTGTCTTATCTCTTTCACATTACAAACAGTGGCCGTATATCGTTGTTGGTGTCCTTGAGTAAGAAATCTCTGTTACTCAAGTAAATCTGTCTTAGGTAGTGTATAGCGTAGACTGGTAGTAAGGTTTATTTTCTTCATTATTCAAATGGTTCTGTACTATAAACAGGGTGTTGTTAATATGGATCTGTAACAAGCACATTACCAATACAACTTCACATATATGGAATTCAGCCTTAAGTACTCATTTTATTATTTTCAATCGTTTATACATTTTTGTATGTGCGTAAAAGTCAAATATTAAATACGATTTGCATACAGGTGCAACAGACCCTCTGAAAGAGGCTATAGTCACCCTAAAGTAAAGTAATTTACTCGAAATTTGATCGAAATGAAGAAAATATTGTTCAATAATAAGTTTAATTATATACCTTGTAGTGAGCTAACCCATGTCACGTGGATTTTGCATGTAAACGGTAAACGGTTTTTTTTGTCATCTCCAGTGTCATGTGTATATATGGTTTGGTGTCAGTGTTGTCCATAGTGTTTCGTATGAAGTTACGTATACATTCGGCAAGGTAGATGATTTGACGAAAGTGCAGGTAAAAAGTAATACGAATTAATATAAAAGAAAGCATAGATAAAAGAGTGTAGTTACAACAGGTTTTTCGCGGCTAAATTGCATCAACTTGGGACAAGGTACTGTACAGTCCGGCGATATATATATATATTGTTCATATATTTCCTAGTTTGATCGATTTTTAGTTAGATTTATTGTTTTGTTGAGCTTTGGTTATTTCCTTATTTTTCATACTGTAATTTCTTGATTTTTACCCGCTCCGATATATTGTCTGTACCCCTGAAAATATCATGAAATAAAATTTGCAGATTGCCCGCCCTGGTAGATTGCCGGCAGGTAATCTGCTATATAAAAACCATTATACCAGGTTCTCCGCCAACGTCAGGTACACGATGCTTTCGATTTCATTTAAACTTTGATGTTAACAGTTATGACGACTTCTTTACTCCACTAAGTACTCGATAAGACGATATATTATATTCCCGGTAATATTTATAAACTTTTCATGCGTACGTTTGATGATAAAACTTGAACGTTTCTATAATTTTCTTTTGTATTATTGAAGATTTATAAGATTTTAAAAATCAAATTTATTGTATTACCAACACATTTTATAACATTTTAAAAATAGTTTGTCATATTGTCTGCTTCATCAGAAAGCTTCTAGGGGAAAGACAAAAAATATCCTATTAGCCCGCGGGAAATACCCCAGAAATTACGATAAGTATTGCTGTGTATATTGGTTTCTTATCACAAAATGACAATGTTTTTTTCGATTTGGGTTTGAAGTTAAGGTGGGTACAATATGAAGGTAATAATATCATTTCTTTAATATAGTCTTTATAACATGTCACGATGGCCGAGTGGTTAAGGCGTTGGACTTGAAATCCAATGGGATCTTCCCGCGCAGGTTCGAACCCTGCTCGTGACGTTATATTTTAGAATAACTACCTGTTATATATGGAAATAAATATTAGAGAATATCTTATTTTTTCCGGGGTGATACCTACGCAGTAGGGACAACTAGATATTTAATCATCAGATAAATTGTTTGATATTTTTTTCTCATATAGGTTTGTCGACATTGTTAGATGGTTTTAAATTATTTTAAACGTTTTGTTACATCAATCATTCATTTAACAGAGGTATTAAAAGACAACTATCCAAATCAACGGTAGTGATTCTGATTTTTTTCTCCAAAATTAATGAGTTTGTGAACAGGAGAATTTTTTCTAACAAACCATATGAATGGCCGTAACGATGACCGAATTAAGACTACGGTAAGTGTTTTCTGCCTATATGCCACGTTCGTCAAATTCGTGGAAATTCGCAAAATAATAAAGGTTATTTTCTCTGGTCGTACTCCTTAATGCTAGAAACACCAAGATTCAATCTTTATATTATTTGTATTGCTGGGCATATGAAACATCGAACCAGCGAAAGACCAATACCTTTTGTCGTGGACAGCTTTGTCAGATTGGCACAGCAGACGACAGAACGTGCCACTTGTGAACATAATGTAGACTAGTACTCGTTTAAACTTATTATATTATTTACAAATATTCTAATGATAGTATAAAAGACAAATATGCTGAAAGTGTTGATCTGGTAAGAAAGAGGATTGTTTCAAATGTTAATGTCGTAAGCATGTTAATATAAAACACTGGTATCTGTAATGTGCCTATTAATTCTAACAGTCATCCGTTAAACGAAAAATGCATCTTATTCATAGTCAACATGTTTGCACTTACTTGTTCATATAAAAAAAGGAAACCAGACACCACAGTTAGCTAATGACGAAATACACAAACAGCCATGTACCTGGTGTCAAGAACACAAGTGTAAGATCTGAATTAAATGTAAGTAAGAGGAATCGATGAGTAACTAAAAGTAAACAAAACAAAACGAACACCACACAAAACGACGGTTAGAACCGAAGGAGACCAGGTACTCAAAATATTTCCTTCATTGCATGCGACACAATTCATTATCAAGATGCAGTTTTGTTCACCAAATATCTGTATTTTAGTGTGTCCCATTCTTACCAAAACTGTACACAACCTGTAGCACGATTAATATAAATTCACTTGTTAAATGTATAATGATATATTTGTTACCTAGCACCATATGTCGATTTCATCCTATAAGTAATCATCAATGACTCTAAAGGCCAAAAGGAATACAATTTTATGTTAGAGGGAACACAATTTGTGATAATTAGGGTAAGACGGGTTATTTGGGTATATATTTAAGGTAACCCTGGAATGCCTTTAGTCATTCGGGCTACTAGTATGCAGGGTTATTCGAGTATTTTAGTTGTTTATAAATGAACCTTCGTATACCAGATATTCCTATGCTTGTAACAGTAATAGCTGTGAATGATCACTATTGGATACACATTTATAAGAACCTTGGAATACCATAGGTTATTCAGGCTACTAGTATGCAGGGTTATTTGAGTATATATATTTTTTGTAAATGAACCCTTCTATACCAGATATACCGTAACAGTTAAAGCTGTCAATAATCCATGTAATACTATTATCATGTATTATTTTAGACAGGTTATTTAGGTTCATATAACACAACATATCAGATTTATAATATGATAATGATTACGGAACGTCTTGTGAATATTAAGATATTTTTTATTCATAATCAAGTTAATTATACATGCTGTATTTATAACAAAGATGATTAACGTTTCAGACCTCATCCGTAAAATGTATACGATAGACGTCATCAATTCATCTGAAATTATAACATTAGACATTAACATCGTAAAAATATACATTTCACCCAAAGAGAAATTTTAACATAAACATTTATGAAACAAGTTTGTTAGCAAAGTGCAAGGGGGGAGGGGGCTGACATTTACGACATAATGATATATAATTTCTATCATATATTTACGTTTCATTAAAAGTTCACTTTGCTCCAATTACTATTTCCTGAAATAGAATCATATATCATAAGTAAGAAATTTATCCAACAGAAACTGATTACAATACGAAAATGTTATGCATTGATAAAAATTACAAATTGACGGTGACAGTATGTCCTCCATTGTCCAGTGTAAAAGACTTTGTCTGCACGGTTTGACCATTGTGTTTGACCAAAAGAGTATAATCTCCCATGAACCCTGTTGCATGTACGGTACTTCCGGTTACAGACTTTGTCACGTGAGTCCGCCATGTGTGATGGAACAGTTGTTGATATCGTCTTCCTGCAGCATTTGGCTAAAAAAACACAGAACATCATGTTAGCATTTTCGCTTTTATACATTCTTCATTTAGCTTCTTTTTAATGTTTAGTCCTAAGTCTAGATGTCCTCTCTGGTATATGTAAACTAGCATTCTAACGTACACATTTGGTCCTCGCACTTGGAATTCTACTTTTATATATTAATAATGCAGTGCCTCTCTTTTGCACCCGAACAGTTGGTCCCTTTTCTTGAAGGTTTTAATCATCTCTAATTTGGTTTTCTTTCAATCACCTGCACATCTTTGACGATCTCAAATACATTGGTATATTGGGTTCCCCTCAGATATATAATATTAACTTTTTTTCACAACAATTATGTAACAAGTTATTTCAACTTATATTAATCACTCTTNCAAGAAGGGAACCCCATACCTTTTCACGTCCGATCGGTGAATCGAACCCCGGTTGCCTTGGTGAAAGGCAAGTGCGCTGTCCACTGCGCCTCCCGACCATCCATGTGGTTGGTGCGCCACATCCCTACCCAAACATTGCATCTCCATTTTGTAAAATGTACAGTCGGTGCCTATCTCAATTACCCTAACATGGGGTTCAAGTTCTTTCACACAAAGCTATGGAATTGCTTACCTGTACATTCGATCCAGTTGCTAAAGCAGAGTTTGGAAGCCAGAGTTGTCCGTCCCAGAAACCCCACAGTAGAACTCCTTCCACGGCAGGATGACTCATGAACAATGTCAACATGTTTTCCAGGGCGTCCGCCTTCAATCCTTCGTTAGCTTCATTTACCGTAAACTCTGTAATCCAAATAGGGAGTCCAGCCTCGGCTATTTTGTCTAATCGGTACTGTGCGTGTGGAAGATGTCATTAAATTAATAAATAGATAGTCAAAAAAGGACGTCAATATGGATTTAAAAAAAAAGAAAGTAAAACAGTATGGAAAAGTTTATTTATTTTCATTTTCATCAGCAGTACATGTACAAACATGTAGTTAAAAATAATGCAACTTTCCTAAATGTAAAAATTGCCTTTATGATATTCAAAATGTGTGGTATAACATCACTTTATCTGATACACAATTTATTGGAAGAATCATGCTTATTAACGTTATTGTTTGTTTACAATATATATGTTTGCTGTTGACGTTATGACCAATTATATATTAAATAAATGTAAAATTTGCCTTTACGATATTCAACATTTGTGGTATTTACGTCGCTTTATTTTACAAACAATGTACAGGAAGGATCATGCCAATTAACATTATTGTTTGTTTAGAATATATTTTTGTTGGTGACGTCATGACCAACCTTTAATGACGTAATATCCATGTGACTATTGGTATGACATTGTATCCCGATACCGTACAGTGGGATTCCAGCATTCTTCAGTTCTTCTGCCTGTTGCTTGTATGCCTGGTCATTAAATTTACCGTATTTTACTTAGTTGAACAGACACGAACACATCCGTTATTAAGACAACTTTCACGGGTAATGAAGCTTCAAATCATTTTTTCCTATCTTGTTTACATATAAAAAAAAAATACAAATACAAATTCAAATAAACAACAACATCAGCTGTATATATAATATATAGAATTACAGCTTCAGTTTATGTAATATAGATAAAGGAAATTTAGATTTATCTGCATTTATACAGCATTTATAGATAACACAATTAAACTTATTGGCAAAGATCAATGTTGAATTTATATTGAAAACATAACATTATTGAGAATTGCTTTGCCATAAATATACCAAAGTCCTATGTAAACAGTGAAATTATATGCACTAGAAAACCCATTAACATTAATCCATGTTATTTAATAAGCTTATCATTTAATAAAGAATTTTAATTATACGAATATTTCTTTATCTTTATCTTACGGTGGTCATTTGACTTGAAGAAGCCACAGCATATTCGTTTAGGAACAGTTTCACTCCTGGCTCCGCTTGGTGTATCCAGTTGAACATCTCCTTAGTTATGTTTGGGTGACCGGTATGTTCCTCAAAGTACATCCCGTGGAGATTTTCATTGTACACGTCCCAATGTTCCAGACTAATTGGATGGGAAATGCATGACATAAGCATGGAAAGGGAAACTGTACGGATTTGGATTCTGTACGACGCGTAGTTAATAGCGTGGCAATAGCATGGCCTTATAAACGGGAAAATTCAAAGTAACTTTATTTTGCCAACCATGAAATACATAGTATACAGCAAACTGGTTTACAACCACTCGCATCGTGTATACACATGTGTACGGGACATTGTTAATGGACTTGTATCACATTTACAAGCTACCGACTTGACATGACAGCACGAAGAACGCATGGAATATTTACCTCCCTCTAGTGCGTGATATGACGTCATTAATATGTGTGTGCATAGCTTGAATCAGGGTGGAATGTCCCATACCGTCAAGCCAATCCGGATGTGTTCCTTGGGTTCCCCAAAACATGTTATGTCCACGTACCTTAATCCTAAAAACATAAAGTATAGTATGTATGCTTAAAATACTTCAATATACTTCTATCAATGAGTTTTGATAGAACAGGTTATCATCATTTGTATCAATACCACGTACCAACTTATCATAAGAAAATTGATGTTGCAATTCTTTATCATATAATGTCATTCATTAACATTCCAGATTATGACATTTAATTGCTACATACTATTATTTGCTTATGTAAAAGTTTGTTTGTAAGTAAACTTTTATTCACGAGTAGAAACCTTTCAACAACAAACAACAAATGTAAGCGTAAGCAAAAGATTATCCCTATTTAAATCAGTAGATTATCTTGGTCACCCTGCTTTTCATAGACGTTTGATGTTGCAATTCTTTATCATATAATGTCATTCATTAACATTCCAGATTATGACATTTAATTGCTACATACTATTATTTGCTTATGTAAAAGTTTGTTTGTAAGTAAACTTTTATTCACGAGTAGAAACCTTTCAACAACAAACAACAAATGTAAGCGTAAGCAAAAGATTATCCCTATTTAAATCAGTAGATTATCTTGGTCACCCTGCTTTTCATAGACGTTTGATGTTGCAATTCTTTATCATATAATGTCATTCATTAACATTCCAGATTATGACATTTAATTGCTACATACTATTATTTGCTTATGTAAAAGTTTGTTTGTAAGTAAACTTTTATTCACGAGTAGAAACCTTTCAACAACAAACAACAAATGTAAGCGTAAGCAAAAGATTATCCCTATTTAAATCAGTAGATTATCTTGGTCACCCTGCTTTTCATAGACGTATGGATACTTAGGTAGACTTGTAAAAGACTCTCAATAAATTTTACTTGAAAGGAAAGATGTAATTAACATATGTTAGTATACTATGGTCGAAAATAGCTTTGATTCGAATAGCTTTGAAAAGTAATCAAACATTTTCTCACCTTCGTTATATATTCCACTTTAATACACGAACTAACATTGATATTTCCTATGACATCAGCGCACAATTATAAATACATCGACATCACCAAAACATTATTAAGTTACAATGTAAGCAAGGTTTCGCAGAAAAGATAAACATCACAGAGATTGTATTTTTCAAACGACATGGCATGTCTGTTCTCTATCTTTGTTTTTGACAACACTACAAACAGTACCCCTTGGACTGGAGAGCTTGAACGGCGACCATTGGTTTGTCCAGGTTAGGATGACCCTGAAAAAGCAAGAAAGAATATAGAATTTTCAATGAAACCTTAATTCCGTTTCGAAATCGATACAACCATGGTAAAATATGAACAAAGGAAAATATCATATGGAAACCATATAAAGGTATTAGGAGAATAAGGCCGGGTTGGCAAGCTTCTTCTGTTTCATCGACGACAACGGTTATGAACATCTGGGTCAGATCAATATGATGACAGCTCCTTAAAGCGAGAAACGAGCAGAGAAAACGAAGTATCAAGGTACCCTTAAGAGCATGAACAAAGGTATATATCCATAATCTGTATTCGTTGAAATAAAGCATAGGCTATATCAATTTTCTTCTACAAAATAGATACAGACCAAATAAAGTGTCTGATAGCCATGCGATGTTTTAAGTCTTTAAATCAACTATTAACTACGGTAAGCATATAATAAATGTATATGACTTTAAATAGAAGAGTACGATAACACTGTGATATAGCTTTAAGATATTAAATCAAAAATAGCAAAAACAGCACATCATTAATATTGTCATGAACATAACATTCAGAGGATTTATACAGTAATCATAACATACCTGGCTCCATTCCATCGGTCGCCACTTAAGAGCATTCTCGAGTACGCTCCACTCAAAATTGTCGTAGAAGAACTGTTGGTAGGCATGGTGAGACGAATCCACGATCTTTGACGCTGAAACTACAGACCCAAAAGCAAATTTGCTCTTCGTCTGTTGGATCTGCAATAACACATGTAATTTTCATAAAGGTACCATTCAAACTGTTTACAACTTGTACTTGTAACCATTGATCATTTGATTATCAGAGAAGGTCTTTTCTGCTAGTACCATTTTATAAAAAGGAACCATCAGTTGGTCATCACATTTACTGCCATAATGCATTACTCTTTAAGATAGCAACCCATTTAAGTTTATGGTCAACGTGATGTTATCATAATGTGCCTTTGGCATGGTATTTCAGTAAGATAGCACTATAAAGTTGGCATCAGATCCGCGCTATCACAATATCTTGATAATAAAAACGGTTGTTATATATTTATCGTTGTTTTATTTCATTATTAAGTTCTACAAATAATAATTTTTTCATTGTAAATCTCCATTATCATTTCCTCTATCTTAAAACGTTACCGTTGGCATTAACTTTATTGGAAACTAGGCCCAAGCTTAATAACAATACTTTCATGATTTGTTTATTGGAAGCGTATACGGAGACTTTTAGCGCTTGCTGTATATCAGAAATGTATACATTTTAATATGCAAACAAAACTCCTTGTGATGGTTAAATATAATAGAAATGACAGAAGAGTTTCTTAATATATATCTATATATATGTATTTTCATATTCGTTTCAATCGATTCAATAAATTCTGTTCTTACCTGTTCTTCCATGCACATTCAACAAAGTTACTAAATTTCATGTTAGGAAAAATAACGAAATCAACAAGTGGTAAAACTAATTAGTATGCATCAAATTTCATTAAAAGTTGAAAACTGTGATAAAGAAGATAAAAAAAATAATCTTGTTATAAACGTAATTACCTCAACTTGGTAGCCGGATCCTTGTAGATTATGCAAACTGAAATTATAAGTAATTTATTAGTATGTGTCATTGGCGTCATCTGCAGATTTAATTATTATTTTTTGATATGCAAAACATTATAATAAATACGGAATAATATATATATCTTTATACACAAAAAAAGGTTTGATGTCACTCATGTGTTCCATATCTTCAAAAAAACATATAAGAGTTAGTGTAAGGTTACCAAACACTCATATCTACTCATACTTGACTGTAATTGGCGCTTTTCTGATGCTGTTTATCCTGGAGTTGGCCTCAGACTTCCAGTTCGCATCATATGGAAGTACTTTGACGCTCGCCGCATCGACCAGGTAGTTCACTTCAGGTTCAGCGATTTGTAGATATACATAAAGTTGATGAACGTCTGAAAACGGAGCAAGGGAATCTAGTTGCAGTGGTGTTTTGATCCTAGATATAATGCAGACGGATTATTTAGTCGGAGATATCACCATGCAGAAAAAAACAGAATGAGTCTGTCTGTTTTTGAATAATGAACTCACACAGTTTGAACACCAGATGTAGAATAAAAAGCCTGATAATTAAGTAAAGTACCACTGAATCAGTTTTAATCTCCTAGAGTTCCACTTTTTAAGTTTCGTTAATTTGTTTTTAGTTTGAGGATTCTCCCTCTATATAGAAAATGAAGCAACGTAAGAGTTTTTTTCTGGCTTAGAGTAACTTCTCCTGTCAAGTGTTTCATATGCATTGTGGCCCATGAATCGGACTCTCATTTTGATGCTTTGCTCGAAAAATCCCCCTGTACCAACATTTCTATTGTGTAGATTTTGAAATGTAGAGGTTCCCAGTTCGACCATAGCAGTTTTCCTGTTTTCTTTTCTATTTCCTTTTTTCAAACATCAAAATTCAGAACAACCACAATTGTGAAAAAATCATTGCAACATGTGATTTTTATAATTTATATTTCTTTTGAAAAGGTCTTAAAATCATTTACAATTGTAATATTTGTGTGGCTAGAATCTGATAATACTTTTTTTGGTGAATGTATATATGTGATAGTGTAACACTGCAAAACCTATAATTGATATAGGCTTGTCAGTCAATTATATTTTTGGGAAACGTCAATGTCTTTGTTCGTCTTTATCTTTCTGTATGTTTACACACAAACTAGATGAATAAAAGTAACTCTGAATCAGGTAGAAATATATAGCAGTTATCCGGATTCTTAATAAAATTGTTCACTGTATCAATTGTGATCTGTTTTTTGCAAGAAGCTATGACGCAAATTATACAATGAAATAACTTGCTTTGTGGTACTTTGAAGTCGAATCCAATCTCTGTCCAGCCACTGTCTGTCCGCATCTTAGGGCTGTCACCAGCATCGTGATACTCGTCGTGTCCTTCCCAGTGAAAAGATACGTTAACTAGATCCTAATTGATCCGTTCTTCAAGAACATTACACAGAAATGACATAGTCGTCATGTTAAGGAAAATTAAAAGATGGTCCCCTGGATCAGTTGAACTTAATATCAGCTTACCCAGCCAGCCCGTCACTATATTGTAAACAGTAACATATGTTTACTTGTTTTCTGAAGAATATATTTTAATAGAGAAATATCATTAATTTTAATTAAAAAAAAATATTAACTATTCAAAATAGCTGTTCATCACGATTCCAATGTTTATGTAAGAAGAAAATTAATTATTCAATATGGCTATATTTTTAATTAAGAACTGGCTAATTGAAAACAATCAGGCCTGGAGCACAGGGCAGGTGGCTAAATCAACCCATATATATCTACTGGATAGTTGCATTCCAGCAAAATTCAAAGATATTTTCTCAAGTACACTCAACGGCACACCTTGCATATAAATAAAATATGTTTTAAACATTCCCTTTTTTTATTGATAATTTCTTTTTTATGTACAGATATTTAAAAAAAAAAAAGCTATAACGAGAGAATTCAAGCTTAAATTGAGTGTATACTGCCAATGATAAGACATCAACATTAGTGAGACAACGTTTCAAGTATTTATTTTTTATTTTTGCGACATTGAGGATTTTCGCTGCAATTCAATTTTCGTTCTTTTTGCCCTTCGCAATAAGGGCGAATTTATCACGACATGGAATATTAGTACATTCTTTACCCGATACAGTAATTGCATGTAAAGGACTTAATTTATACACGGCGAATACAGGTTTTACCACTGAATGGCGAATATACAGTACTAGTTTTGTATTGAACAATAGAAAACTAGTTTTACTCATAGTTACCATGTATCGTTTCCTTCACCATGACCTCGAGCTTATGGAACATATGACCTCTTGCCATGTTAAGCAGTTTGACATGCGCACTGAAGACATACCTATTTCCAGGTGACACATTGATGGTTTGGGCTAAACCTGCCCACTTTTGTTGTCTGGGAAATTAAAAAAAATAGACATAATATTCAACGCTTAAATATTAAACTTAACTCCAGAATAATGATCATTTTCTGAAAAATTTCAACATCTGAAGTTGTTATGGAATGTACATATAAACTAGATTTATATACTTTGCTAGCCTATGATATATTCAAAAATTACACATATGCATACAATGTATAACATATGTTTCTTTGAATATATTAACATCGCTGTAATGATGTTACTGTGCAAAGGTATAGGGTCCTTCACTTTTACACTAAATGATGATGTCGACAATATGGGGGAAATGAAGAACAAGAGATAGACAAGAACTAACTATACATCACATAAAACAAACATTTAAACTTACAATAACTAACAGCGAGTTTTTCGCAAAATAAACGTGTTCACCAGTGGTGAATCCCGGGAATTCCTATATAAAAATGGCCGAGTTGTCCAACAAAAATAAAGGTCATTAAAACAACATCGCTCACGATATAATAACAAACAAAAGAGTCAAACTTTTAGATTTGATATGAGGCAGGTTTCAAGAACTGTTGAACAAAGTGCTATTTATATATATGCCGTCGTTATGAGTCTAGAAATATTTACAACATGGTAAGCCTCTAAGCTAATGCAAATAATTCATGTTTTCAAAAATGTGTATTGCAAACAATTTTCGTTTACATAGCTATTCAAAATCTATTTTTATAGAGATAAAACACAAATATATTACAAGTAAATAAGCTTTTCTTTGAATAACTCGACGCAAATCTGCCTTAATATCGATCCATGAAGATGTGCACCTGTGTGTAATCTTAGCACTGTGATGCCCATGGTAACTATCAGAGCTACTTGACAAAGTACACCCTTGACAAACCCAGTTCCCTGTAAACGATGTACTCTCAAAATCTGGATTTTTCAACAGCTCCGTAGCGCCATTAGTCAAAGCGACACACAATAGCACTAGGAGAACCACGTCCATGATTCCTCGTTGGTCCGCTTGGACTAGCTTACCCTTTGCTTTAAGAGGTCAATCAGAACACGATACGGTATGCTTAAATTAGCATGTTATCTGCTATCTTATCTTAGTGTCCATACTCTCTTTCACATTACACACAGAACAACATAACGCTATGGCTAGGCTTGCATCAACCTTTCATTTCCCAAAATACACACATTAGAACTTGCATGCAGACAAGTTCTGTTCTCGAGCAACACATTCATGTTCCTCAAGTGCACCTGCATACCGTGGGGTAAGGTTCACTTTGGGTATTACGGTTTCTGTTCTATTACATTCAGATGGTATGACACTATAATTGAGCATTTGGAATACTGATCTATAACAAGTAGATTACCTATATACAACCCCACAAATGTGGATGTACTTGACAAGGCAGTTCCCATGCTCTCCTTGTTATTATAAGTATAATCTTAGTATATATTTACGTACGTGGAATCCATTAAATAGTATACTTCTGAGAGTAATTTACTCGAGATTAGATAGAAAGCCAAGATAAATGATGTTTAATTATGATTTTAAATACATTAACTGTAAACATTACACATGTTTTATTGTAACTAGTGTTATTTGTACATTTGTTTTTATTTCTGAATGTGAGTCGACCATGCTCTGAGATTGAATTCTCTGCATAAAGGTTAAATCAATATATATTTATATGGATCTTACATGAGTTTCCATTTCATATATAAAATTTATGAAACGAGTCTAAGACTTTTTTAATTTAGCTAGCCACTGGCGAGCTACAATAAAAAAATCGTAACGAGTTTCATATATATCATATGAAAATCAAGATTTGTGACATGGGAATATTCACTGAATAACAAAGTACATTATGTGATATATACATGTAGATGCTACGGCGGTACATTTAAGACATGCACAATTTTATTTTCGACATTAATTATCTCGAGCGCTCGACTTATTATGTCGAGCGCTTTAAATGTATTATTACTTGCTTTTAACTAATGGAGTACAATTCTCTCAATGTCGTTTACACTTTCTTGATTATTTTAGCTTGGTCTATTCTTTAGCAACTACAATGAATGTGTTTTGCTAAGCTCTCTTGTTTACCCTAATGGAAACACACAGGAGACTTAATGGAGAAAACCAGGTGATAGGGTAGATCAACTAATACCTGTTTGGGAATCGAACCCTACTCATGCGAATTGGAAAAGTGGCACACAATGACGTAATGACGAAGCTAATACTATTTATACCTTTTAACTAAGTGAGGAATAAAGATTTTGAAATCATGGATTAAGTTTTCGGTAATCCCTCTAACACCACAATAAATTAGCTATACGATTGCACATCAATCGAATGGTAACAGTTATTGAAAACTCTTTCTATCAGTTTCCTCTCTTACACTCTCACACTCTCTTATACATGTACGAAACTCATTTAAATTATTTGAATTCATTCAGGTAATGTTGATATATTGAATTGTATTTTAAAAGCTTTTTATTTATCGGCATTTCTTATCTTGACATTGTTTTTCTACTTTTAAAGTATTTCGACAAATTATGATATATCACAAAATGGCTACATTTAAAAGATGATGAGTCTAGTAATTTGTCGTTAAGTCGACATAAGTTACGTCGGTTAATTGACACATTAATTATAACAAGTAAAGATCCATTTACGTTTCCGTACATCTCCTCTGCTATCACAATAAGATACTATCATGAAGCGATTCATACGTAAAGTCTAAGTAAAGCGCCCGAAATAATAAGTCGAGCGCTCGATAAGTTTTGTCGAGCGCGTGACATAATATGTCACGCGCACGAGATAATAAGTCGAGCGCTCGACATAATTAATGTCGAAAATAATTTTGTGCATGTCCTAAATGTACCACCGTTAGATGCGTTGCCTGCGAAGAATAAAACATTTCTTTAAATCTTACTGATTGTATGAGTAATTAATTATGTGAAAAACAAATCTTTTGATATTTGCGTGTTTTATTTTTATTGATGCTGCTTGTTCATTTATAAATGTCTGATTGTAAGCTGACCATGCTATTTATGTATAGATGAAATCAACATATATATATGGATGCGACATCTGGGAAGAGTTTATTATACATTTAAAATCGTAGTCCTCAATATATGTCACGATGGCCGAGTGGTTAAGGCGTTGGACTTGAAATCCAATGGGATCTTCCCGCGCAGGTTCGAACCCTGCTCGTGACGTCTTATTTTAAAATAAATAGGTGTATTTGTTTTGAATATCAATACCTCACCGGAGACCGGAGGAAACCGAGAAATATGAATGACAAGAGAAAATGTGTATTCTTGCTGGATAAATCGATTTTGATTTTTTTAACAATTTTTAAATCCCGAATTTTAAATTCCACTATTATTTAACGTTAATTTTATCTATTCTACCAAGTAAAATGTCTTTGTCGTGTCTACTTCATTGTTAATATGCCTGAAGTTTTTAGTCAGTTTTAAATAATGTGACAGCTATGCATCGTAACGGTTATGTTGATACAAGTAGAACATGTGTTCGTGTTGTTGTACCTATGAACCTTTTCACACATGTTGTGAATATGTACATCATGTATATGACATGGTAATATAAGGAGAGTCTGTGTTCATTATATATGTATCATTGTCTATTGATGCGTTTTAATGATTTTGGTTTCAGATTTGTGTGATACATCAGTAGATATTGCATAACAAATTACGACTGAGATTTATTATGCTGATAAAATAATTTTGATGTTGGCGCTTTTAATATGCTAAAAAAACATCATCATCGTTTTGATAATAAGTTTCTGATATAACTTCAGCTGTTGCATAACAGATTACCGCTTAGATTTAGAATTGCGATATTAAATAGGTTTGTTGTTATATATCGTCTAAGCACTACTGCTATGATTGCGTGACTATGCGCTCAGACAATAGTACTTAAAAATATTATTTAAACCTTCTCTGGTACTTTAATAAAACTAGATATGATAACTTTGAATTTGGGAGGGAAACAGCAAGCGACATATATATTCATGAATGGCAAATTTTGTAAAATCATACCAACTTCACCTTGTTTTTCTTGAACAAATATGAACATCCATGGTCCTCTGTAATATTTTCGAGGTGTTTTATTGAATCAAAATATCACCTATGTCCACAGTACCCTAATGTTTATTGCTAGCGTATTCCGGGTCGTCACCGATTCCTTTACGTAGGGGTCCATATTCTCTTTCACACTACATACCGTAATAACAAAACACTCCTGCTAGTTTTACAGCAACCCTTTATTCAGAAAAAACGTCTTAGATTCCCGTAGACAGGTTATGCTCTCGAGCAACAAATTATTTGTCCTCAAGTGCACTTGCCTTCATTGAAGTAAGGTTTAAACGGGTTATTACAGTTTTGTTCTATTCCATTCATATTGTATGACACTAAAATTGAGCTTTTGGAAATACGGATTTATATCAAGTAGATTACCTGTAGCACCGCACAAGTGGAGAGGTACTGAACAAGGCAGCTGCAACACCCACTTCGTTATTATAATTATATACTCAGTATATATGTGCGTGCGTGTTATCCATCAAAATATAATATGCCCGATAGTTATTTACTCGAGATTCGATAGGAAGCCAAGATAAATGTTTAGTTATGGTTTTCAAAAATGAAGAATAATGAGAAAATTTAATATTTTTTTAACATCTTACTGATAATAGAAATGACTAATTATATACATAGAAAATCCATAGACATTACGCGTGATTTATATTAATCAATGTTGTTTGTACATGTTTTAATGTCTGTTTGTATGCTGACAATGCTATTTACGTATATGGATGCGACATTTGGGAAGAGTAAATCATACATTTCCTCAAGTGCAGCTTCCTTCATTGACGTAAGGTTCCAATTAGGTATTAAAGTTTTTGTTCTACTCTTTATATTTTGTATGATACTTTAAATGAGTTTTTTGAAATACAGATATATATCAAGTAGATTACCTGTACCACCGCACAAATGGGGAGGTACTGAACAAGGCAGCTCTAGCACTCACTTCGTTATCATAATGTTATACCTAGTATGTATGTACGTACGTGGAATCAATTAAAAACTATATGCTCGAGTAATTAACTCGAGATTAGATAGGAAGCCTAGATAAATGTTATTTAATTATGATTTTGAATAAAATAGCTGTAGACATTTCGCGTGTTTTATTGTAACGAGTGTTATTTATACATTTTTTTTTATTTCAAATGTAAGTTGATCATGCTCTGAGTTTGAATTATCTGCATGTTGGTTAAATCAATATATAGATGCGACATCTAGGAAGAATAAATAATTTCCTTAAATTATAACTGATAATATAAGTAACTAATGATGTAAATAACGAAACTGTAGATATTAGGCGTGCTTTATTTTAATCAATGCTGTGTGTACATGTTTTAATGTCTGATTGTAAGCTGACCATGCTATTTACGTTTAATGAAATCAACATATAGATATAAATGGATGCGACATCTGGGAAGAGTAAGCTATACCTTTGATATCTAAATCGAAAATATGTGTCACGATGGCCACTATTATGAACGTTAATTTTATCTATTCTACCAAGTAAAATGTCTTTGTCGTGTCTACTTCAGTGTTAATATGCCTTAAGTTTTTTGTCAGTTTTAAATAATGTGACAGCTATGCATCGTAACGGTTATGTTGATACAAGTAGAACATGTGTTCGTGTTGTTGTACCTATGAACCTTTTCACACATGTTGTGAATAGGTACAACGTGTATACTACATTGTATATGACATAGTAATTTAAGGAGATTCTGTGTTCATTATATTTGTATCATTGTTATTATTACTGGATGCATTTAAATGATTTTGGTTTCATATATGTGTGATACATCAAATTACGACTGAGATTTCTTATGTTGATAAATAGTTTTGATGTTGGCGCTTTTGATATGTTTAAAACATTATCATCGTTTTGATAATAAGTTTCTGATATAACTTCAGCTGTTGCTTAACAG